TCTAGCAACGGAATGGCATTTCATCATATTTTCGACCGATGGACTTTATTGCACTAGTGAGAATGAGTATCAAATAACCCTTTCAAAATCCGCACTTAAAGGAGACCTTGACACTCTTCGGACCAGCGTGAAGCAAATAGTTGAAATAGTCGTGGGACTGTTAAAAGATAGGATAAAAGCAAGTAGTGAACCCGAGAGTAAGAAACGGCGGGTACAAGAAAAAATTAAAAAATAGATGTGAACTTCTGTTTATGTATTTTATATTTTATTTGTAACAATAAAGGGACGATATATATTTTTTCTTGCCTGAATTTATTTTATTTTTTGCCGTGCATATTCGCTGATGCATCAGTAAAGCTGACCCTGGTGGCTCGATTTCGTATATTCAATAGTGTTTATTTACATGTGTATTTCGGGGATTTCATTATGTTGTATGAGTCGAGAAATTTTTTGACGACGGGCCGTCGCTGAAATTTTGGTCACGTGATTTTATTTTTTTGATTGTCGCGCATGATCCACTTACGCGTTACTTTTTATAAATCAGTTTTCAGTAATCCTTTTTTTCCCTAAATTGAATGGATCTTGAGTATTTCAAAGAAACCGAGCCAGAGAAATATCTGTTTCATGATTATTATCAGTATCGTAGAGGCCAAAAAGACTTTGCATTTAATTTTCGTCTAGAGGCACGAAAACTCTATAAGTGCTTGGAATACCTGGTAGAACATGGCTCTGATTCGGAGAAACAAAAAGCCCAAGAGTTACTCAACGTTTTTGAGGCGAGCATTTTTTTTTTTAATTTCATTTTGATCACCACTGGCAGGCAATATGGAGGGCCTATTAAGAAAGTATACTTCCACGACTACGGTGGGCGCCTGCGTCCCGCTCACTTTATGCCGTCCCGTTGTGGTCTACAAGCTTGGCTGTATATGGTTTCTCTTGTAGAGGTAGGCCCTCCAGAGGTCCCGGAAGGGATATTACCCACGCAACTACTTTGAGCGCCTGCGTCCCGCTCACTTTATGGCGATCCCGTTGTGGTTTGTTTTGTCAGTGGGTTTTTCTTCTTATAAGGATAAAAATGGTAACAGATTATGTATTTCTTGTAGAACCATCGAAACAAGTTTTCAGACGTCAGTCAGTTATGGGATGAATGAATGTCTGGGCAAACAATATACCAATGAAAAAAAACGACTGCAATTAGATCAGGTTGACTAATTGGAATATTACTTACCTACCTTTAGCATAATTGTATATTTAACAATTTGTTTTGAATTATAGGTAAAAGTAGCACGCGCTATGGCACAGGGGACTGAAGATGGTGTGAGAAATATTCTGAAAAATGTCAATGCGGAGTTGGTATGATTATTTATATGTATTATTATTGAAGTCATTTGTTAAAAAAATGATAACATCGGATTTATTTATAGGAAAAGGAAGAACCAATTGCACACGCCATCCAACCAAAAAAGCTAAAAAGAAAATATGATGCCGATGAAGAAAATTTAGGAATAAATGAAAGCTCAGATAACATCAATATAGAATCTACTGAATTGGAACCTAATGATGAAATAAATACTGCTGTTGATGAAATTCTGGACCTTGATCCATTAAGCAATGTAAAATCTGATATTAGTGAAATAGAATCTGATAGTGGGTTATCTACTGTACGGAAATATCCCGATAAAGACAGTCCAGATAACGTTTGGATATTGCCTTCCAGAAAATCTATTGACAAAGTTATTCGTGGCCCGAAAAATCTACACAAATCACAGTAAGTTTCATATTCTTTATTTCTTCTCTTCACGTCTTTTGGTCTAACAAATTAATCTTTATAATTTGTACACTTGTATGTAGCCTGTCGTGTTTAAGTATCATACGCATTGGTCCAAAAGTCAGAAAACCTGAATGGATTGTGCAAGCAGATTGGGATTACCTGAATTTAAGCATTGAATATCCGCATTACGATTTGTCAAAAGAGATCGAAAATCTATTTGTTGAATTATTAGAAACAGTAAGTATAAATTGTCTTTTAGTGAAAATGTTATTTATATATATCTGATTTTTTTTTATAATCAATAACAGAATTCATTGATCGATTATAAAAAATTTCTTTATAAAGTCATGTTTGACTGTGAAATTGATATTGAAATGACATTTGTAATAGATGTCTTATTTTGGTTGTAAGTATAATTGTTTTGTAGAAGTATTGCTTGTTTTTTTCACAATTTTTTTATTAATTTATTTTATTTTTGAAGTGCAAAAAACGTATTCAACACTAAGTCGGCATTCCATAGTATTAATAAAAACGAGGTGTTGTTAGGATCACTTATAATTCACCCAGTACTACAATATCTCGTAAACGCAACTGATCACGTTATTTATGTGCCGTATGTTTCTTTGATTCTAATATCTGACAAATACTTTTGTTCTTTTTTTATAATATAATTAAAATGCAAGTTTTTTACAAAAAATAGTGGTGAAATTCATCTTAAAGCCAGTGCAAATCAGCGATTATTACGACGTAACCTTAAACCCGATGACGATAAATCCCTCGGCATGAAAGTCGATGGCTCTTTCCAGTCCCTTGATGAAATAGGACTCGAAATTGGCATGATTGAACTATCTGGTAGGGTTGTTAATAGAACATAATGGGTTGGGTTGGGTTCATATTATAATGGAGCAATGGTCAACCCAACCCAACCCGGGTTAAATGTATCACTGGTACTCCGCGGGTTGCTCCGGGTTACTCCAT